GAGGGCCAGTGATACTGCCCTCCACAGCTAAGATGCTGAACAACAGCTCAACCTGGAGCTGGGCTGCCGTGAGTCACCGGCGATGGCGTAGGCTGCAGCCCTTGTGGCAGTAGGTTGCCATGGGCTACCGTGTGTAGCCAGCACTCAGCGTGAGCGGCCAGCAGCCGCTGTGAGCAGCCGTCCAGAAGCCGGCGACTGATCTGCCTCGCCCAGGAAGAGCGCAATGATGGTGCCAGCTTGGGCCAGTGAAGCAACGTCCTCCACAACTAGATTGAAGAAGAAAATGACAGCAACTTGTCTGCTTGTCTGTTTCCCTTCCCCCAATCCCCCAGCACTGTTCCCATCCCAATTCCCCAATTAAAAAAAAAAAAAGTCAATTGACCAAAAATGTAAGGATTTATTATTTCTGACCTCTGAATTTTATTCCACCGATCTCTATATATCTCGGTTTTTGGTAGTATGACATTGTCTCGATTGCTGTAGTTTTGTAAGTTTTGAAATCAGGAAATCCAAGTCTTTCCACTCTTTATACTGTTTATTGCATTGATTAGCACCTTCAAAATAACCCTGAGTAGAAGTGGTGAGAGCAGACATTCTTGTTTTATGTTATTCATTATCTTAGGGGAAAAGATTTAATATTTCACCAATACTTTTAAAAAAGATGATTGTTATCCTATTGAGAAAGTTCCCTTATATTTCTAGCTTGCTGAGTTTTTAACATGAATGGGATTTGAATTTTGTCAAATGATTTTTCTGTATCTATTGAGACTAATACTTTGTTTTTCATTGTTAATGTGAATTACACTGACCTTTCAATGTTAAACTTCACTTTCCTTCACAATAGTACCTTATCCTCTATATTGCAAGGTTCAATTTGCCACTAGTTTGTTAAAAATTTTAAGATTTACATTTATGAGGGTTATTTGGATATAGAATTACATTGGCCTGATGTGTTTGGAAGTGTTCTTTTCTGCTCTATTTTCTGAAATAGTGTAGGGTTGGTATTTTTATCTTCTTTAAATGTCTGATAAATTTTACTGGTAAAGCCATCTAGGCCTGAAGGTTTCTTGGTGGGGAGTTTATTACAAATTCAATTTAATAGATATTGGGCCATTTAGATCTTATTTTCCTTGTGTCAGTTTTTTTTGGGGTTTTTTTTTTCAGGAATTTGTCCATTTCACTTAAGTTGTTGAACTTATTGGCATAAAGTTGTTGAAATTATCCCTTTAATATCTATATAATTCTACTAGCATTTTGACTACATTAAAATTAAACTTTTTGCACATAAAAATTGATGACAAATAATGAATCAGGGGAAATATATATATATATATATATACACAAATATATATATATATATATATATATATATATATATATATACACACACACACACACACACACACACACACACACACACACACAGGAGCAAACAGTCTAGTGACAGAGAAAAGGAATGAATTACAGTTCAGTGGTTCAGTGTGACAAATACCATGAGAGGTACAGAAAGAACACATAGGAAGGATACCCAACCCAATCTGGGGAATCGGAATCATGATTCCCAAGTGACGAGTTAGATTGCTAAACTCTAGGTAAATTAATCAAATTTATAGACACTTCAAAAGCTGAGACTTAGATCCCAGATATAATTACTTCACATTGGGTATCTACCTGTGAGAGTCTGTAGTCAACTGGATCCCTTTCCTTTTACTGGCATAACTTTAATTAAAAACTAAAACACAATTTTGTTTTTGTAAAAGTATATTCATTACAAAAAAAATTCAAGTAAGATAGAAAAGTCCAAAAGATAAAAGTCACTTGAATTTTGGCCAATGTCCTTCCAAATCTTTTTGCACACTTATTTCACATATATACACATACATACTCATGTTGGTATAACAATGTTCATGCTGATCTGTATTCTGCTTTTTTTGAGGGGGGAAAAAGCCGACCTATATGCTATGCACACTTTTTCATGTAAAAAGATTTACATCGTTTTTAATGACTCAAGTGTATTCCACTTATGCATGCACCAAAATTTAAATAATGTCTTAGCGATGGCACTTATGTTTTTTCTAGAAGCACTTATTATAAAAAAGAGACTAAGGCACATCCTTGTGAATCTATTTTCTTTTTGCTATTTCCCTTAGGATAAATGACTAGGAAATTAGATTCTTGGGGCAAAGGCTTTTGTTAAATTTTGGTAAATAAGGTAACAATTTCAACTTCATACCAATAGTGCACAACAGTAATTGTCTCGCCATATCCCTATTACACTGATGGACAAAAAGGATCTGTTTGGAAGATGAACATTTTTTCATTTCTTAATTAGATGTTTTTGTTTTAGGAATATCCTATTGACATCCTTTGCCAATTATATTTATTGTGGTGTTAAATTTTAAAATTGATATTCTATAAACTCTTTGTATGTTAGGAATGTTTTTCCTTCTTTTTCCACGATACGGATTTATTTTCTACTGGTTCATTATTTGTGTGTAGACGATTACAATGTTTAATGTGGTTAATTTCTACCAATTTTTTCTTTTATGGTTTGTTTCATACTTAGAAAAAGTCTTTCTCAGCTCAACATTATGAAGATATTCACCTTCATTTTCTTGTTTTCTTAATGGTTTCATTCTTTACATTTAAATTCTTGATCCATCTGGTACTTCTTTGAGAAGCGACATAGATGTAAAGTAAAGCCTGTCCCCAGCTATTAGTCATTTCTCAGATAATCTTTTTCCCACTGAACAATGATTTGTAACATATAGTTTACAGATTACCACCGAGACTTCTGGAGTCAGACTGCATGGCTTCCACACTTACCAGTAATGGCTCTGGGTAACGCTGTAACATAGATAATAATTGCACGTTATGTTATAGAGGGTTAAATAAGCTAACCTGAAAAAGCGTTCCAGTACTTGAGACCTAAGTGCTCAGCAAATGTGAGCTACTATTATTAAACAGTCATATACACACAGCAGTATATTTCTGGATTCTTTATTCTGTTCACTGATGTATCTCCCACATCTATGTGATGATTGGCAACATTCCATTACCAAACTCATTATCCCATCCAATGGCTCCTCTTAACTCATTTCAACAAAATAGGTCTTATTTCAGTGGCCTTTCTAATCATAATGGGAGCCCGAAAATGTTAACCTCGGGGGTGGGGGTGTAAAACAAACTGTGCTTCACAACGCGGTGAGAATCAAAACCCAAACCAAGGCACTGAACAAACATGGGGAGGGGAGGGTGCTTATTTTTTCTACACTTATTCTGAAAGGCTGAAACCCTACCTTATATCAGGCCTTGGCATATGCTTGATATTCTCAAAGGCTAGTCCCCTTCCAGTTTACAACCTGAAGACACAGTTCAGGGTCACCCCCAGTGGGACCTGAACTTGAGGTCACTACTTGACGAGATTTGGAGTTGCAAGCGCGGGGGCGGGGCCCGCTCCTGGCCCGGCCGTTACCTCGTGGTGAGCTGAGCCGACTCCCCCTTCCTGGGCTAACGCCCCACCTGACGTGGCGGGCGAGAGACTTCGGGACCCATTAAATTTGCACGGTCAGGCACGAAGGCAGGCGGGGTGACGGCAAGGCCACCTCGGAGCTCTCAAGAGACGAAAGTGTGGGAAGCGCCGGAAGAGGGTAGCAGACACGCGGAAACGGGGAAAAAAATCCCCAGAAACGTTGAGTTGAGAGAAGGTGAGGAAGATCGGCTTCCCGCCCAACTACACGAGTCACTTGACTCCTTGAAGCCAGTGGCCGGTCCCGGATTTCCCGTTCCCTCGGGTTCAGCGGATCTCTGCGTGCCCCAAGCGCCCTCTCAGAGCGTTGCCCCGGCCCTGGCGCTCCCGCCGTTGTCCGCCGCTGGTCCCGCCAGGGCTGGCTCGCTAGCTCCTCCCTCTAACAGCTTCCAGCCGCGGCGTCGGTGACGTCATCGTGGGGCGGGACTTCCTGCCTCGCGCGCCCATAGATCCGGGCCTATCGGCCGGAGATCGGCGCCGGGGCTGGCCCCGCACCCCTGTAAAGGCGTGTCCATTGCGGAGCAGCGGGGATTTTCTCCGCTCCTGCCGGCGCCCTCTGATTTCCCCGGGGTCCAGAGCCCGAGGGCCGCTCTCGGCCCTCCACCTGCTCCGCCTCTTTACCCTGCGCTGCGAGCTGCTGCCGGCGGGCTGCTCCAGCACCCGGGGTGTGGGACTGGATCCTTTCGCCCCAATGCCCGGGCGAGAAGAGTTGAGGGAGTGCCGGTGGTTGGAGCTGTGGAGGTGTCCCCCGGCGGCGAGTGCGGCCAGAACAGCGGTTGATAAGTTTTATGTTCTCACTTTGCAAGGCCCTGTGTAAGGCTGGTACGTACTCCCTTTTTATGGGGACGCTCGCTATCTTGTCCGTATTTTGGAATACTCCTTTTGTTGTTGCTCACAACTTGCCTTTGAATTATTCCTTCTTGTAAAGTAATTGGAGCGGTGTTTAAAAAGTAGGCTGTGAGACCTGTTTTGTAGCAAGTGAAATGCCCGTGAAACTCTGGAGCGTTTTGATGCGCTCCAGCGTGGTGTTTGTGTGGCCAGTTTAGTAACTGGCTATACTTGTGGTACCTCCAGTTTAATTTGTGATGAAAAAGCAGTGCTACTATTTTCCTTGATCCTTAACAGTGTAGTTGGCTGTCATTACAGAGATAACGTCTAGAATCTGTAAGTGAATGCTGGGCTTAAGTGGACACTGATAAATCCTTAGTGCTCAGCTTTTGACCATGATAAATGGGCACTTAGCTCTTATAAATGCCCACTTCCAAGTATTTTAAAAGCTTTTGATCACATTAATTGTGATGATGAAGCTATTTCAATAAAATCTCAAGTCTAGGATAACAAGACACTTGTTCTTAATTTCATACATAGGATATAGTCCATAATGTGTTCAGACTGTGAGCACAAAATGCTTGAGTAGATCTGAAACTGAGTAAGTTGTTAAAGCATTGCTTCTGTTACCAAGCAACGTGTAAGTAAACAAGTCTAATATTCAACTAGAACATAATTAAATGTATCCATCCTATAATTATCTGGACTTAGAATTCTCTAAATTCATGGGTTTAGCCTTTAGGTGGGTACAGTTAATACTCACCTTTTGCATTGAGGTTTAAGTTTAAACTCATTTTGTTTAGAATTATTAGAATGCTTTAAATTTCAGTGTCATACAGGACTCTCCAGTGAGTTGCAAATGGATACGAGTTACCCTTTGGTTTTTAGGACAGAGTATGTTGGTATTCCCTTTCAGTATTTTCTTTTATAACCAGATGAAATGTGCAGGCTATATTCAGGAATTTTCTCAAATAATGGAGTAATACCAGTTTAGGGTCACATACGTTGGGAGATTGAAACACTGCCCACAGGTGGTTTTCAAGCCTTGGTTTAGCCAATAAACTCACCCTTTCTCCACTCATTTAACCCTTAATGATACAATTTGCATGGCAAGTAGTTTTGAGAGCATATTTTGAATGCAGTAACCTTTCAAGTATATAAGAAAGTAGGTGAGAACATTTGAGAAACTGTGAGACTGAATGACTTCTTTGAAACCAAGCTATTAGTATTGGGAATTGGAACTTGAAATTTAATATTCTTTACACCTTGCCCTTACTGTATTGCAAAAATCCCTAAACTTCATTTTATCCCCTACCACTTTTTCTTTCCATATGCTGATGCTGAGTAATGAAATATTCAAGTTGGGCAAGATGAGCAGAGAATAAAAATCAAGAATGACTCATGTTGTGTGATAAAATACTTAGTAATCAGATGTCAGCATTTAGTCATGGGAAATTCTAATTCAAGAAGCTTAGAAGAATAAAATTGTAGCAGAAAGATTAGTGACTTGTCAGAATTCTTTTTGTGTGTATGTTTTCTAGGTACTATCTCTGCCTAAAGTAAGTGAGTTTTATTTTTACTTTGTCATACATAATATATTAGGTTCAGTAGGTAATTTTCTCAAATTGTCTAATCTGTGTGCACTTTTAGGGAACGTGTGTATGTATCTGTAAAAACATTTCCAGAAGTACTCTTGCCTGCTGACTAAGTTACATTTCTTAATCTGAACTCCTCAAAATCTCCTTGCACTCTGCCTTTTCAAGTTTATGTTCTTTATAGAAAAGCCATGCTTTGACCGTACTGGTTTCTTCCCTATCCCAAAACCTTCTATGTGCTTCCTCCCTTCCTTACCAGTCTTCATGTCATTCTATTTGGCCTGATTTTTTCTTTTCTTAACTAAAATCTAAATTATACCTTTTCTATAAAGTTCAGCTTCACCATGAATTCTGTAGGGGAGTAAAAATTCTCTACCCTCCTAGCGTCCCTGGCTAGGCCTAAGAATTAAATTGACATAAGACTTTAACAAGAGAAAAGCATTCAAGTTAAAAAAAATGTTTTACGTGTACATGGGGACCTTCATAGGAGAATGAAGACCTGAAGAAGTGACCAGAGCAGAAAGGTTTTATACCTTTCAGGCAAACAATAAATTTGTGAAAAATTGACAAGACAAAGAGGTTTGGGCTACGAGTAGTGTCAACCAAAAAACATCCAGCCCAAGAGAAAGCTTATGAGTTTATTTGAGCCAAGCTGACAACATTCCAAGGGTATGTTATCTTAGATGTAAAAAGACAACAGTCAGGCTCACTTAAGGTGAAGATTGACCTTTGTCAAGGAAGCTACAGGCCAAGGATGTGACTACCGGTCACGACTCACTTTTAGTTAGGAATTTTTGCATTCAGACCATCTTATTTGGTTATTTTTCAGTCTACTGAGCTTGTCAGGTTTAATATGTGGCCCCTTTTCCGTCCACAGTAGTAAATTGTAGAGAAGGGACAAGGAAGGTAAGTGTTAGTTTAACAAGATTTGTACAGATTTCTGGGTTTTGATTCCCCATCTGTGGTGTTAAGATGTCTTCTTTCTTACAGGGAGGGCACCTTTCACATGGGAGTTTTATCTCCTGCCTTCAGGAAGAAAAAGGAGGGTCAGAGTGTGTCCCTCTTGAACCTGCTGTTTTTGAAGTGCTTTTAATGCAAAATAATGAATATACCAAAGTGGTATATTTTGGGTGACATGTTCTGAACTCCTTCAACTCCAAAATTCTATAGTATGTATTTATCAGTCATACTCACTTGATGCTTATACTTTATATTGTGTATTGTTTTATCATTTCTATGTATGTCTTAACCTTCCTAACTAGATGGTAAGCTCCTTAAAAGCAGACAGATCTCAATGAGATGCAGCCTTAGTTTCTTTCAAATAGAAGTTGCTGGATAAATATTTCTTAGAGTTGAGGAGTGTACATTTCTACTTTTTTTTTTTTATCTGCCCTTCCCATAGTGTAGTGGAAGTAAAAGAAAATCTTAGAGTACCTGAGGGAGAAAGGGCAACTGTAAACCATAAGAAAGGGAATTAAAGAGAGGAAATTCATTGTAATCAGAACGAAACGGTTTGGTTCTTAGAAAGTGTGACTATTTGAGAATTTTTCATGACAATAGTAGTAGTAAGGACTCCCTGAGGAAAACTGGCAGTATTCCCATATGAGTTTGGGGAATTTGGTCAATTTCCTGGTTCCTCCTTAGGAGTATCTCAGTTTTAAAAATACTTCCACCCTCTTTCTCCTCCCTCTCCCACTCCCTCTGCGTTTTCATCCCTCTCTATCTCCCATTTTACATCTTTGCATTTTACTTTTTACATGGTCAATGCTTAATTTATGAAATTATGTCAGTACTTTAATTTGGCCTTCATAAATTAGTAATTCTCTTCAGTTTTATGTTTTTCCATCAGGACTGCCTCTCTGGGTCATGGAGCGATCACAGACTGTAGGCTAGCACTACTTTTTTAGATTAATTGAGATATAATTCAGGAAGAAAGAAATTAAGACAGGAAGTCCTCAGTTATTTGCTTTCTGTATATTGTAACTTCAAATTGCTTTTGGATTAAAATTCATAGAGTTAGGAGGAACCTAAACCTTTTGGAAAACACTTATCACCCTGAAAGTATATCTTTAAATAAATTCTAGGTAATTTTTATAGTCTTGTAAATATTGTATCTGAAGTTTATAACAAAGAGTTACTTCTGTTAAAAGTATAAAAAAGCGGAGTCTCAGTACTTTTAGAAATCTTGATTTGATTCCCTAGTTTCTTAGTGAGCTTCTGCATTGTTGCCCAGTAACAAACTGCAGTATAATAACAGCAACCACTAAAAACATTAGCACTGGGCTACAGGGATTTTCCTGATAAAGTTGCAGTGCCTGTCTCTAGTGTTCGCATTTAAAATCTGTCTTTCTCAACTGACTCACATTTTGGTTTGAGGCAGACATTTGAGGTATTGTTAGAGGGCATGAATATAATTAAGTATATTTTTTTGGAGTGTGACAAATTATAACTTGCACATTGATTTTCACAGAGGGATGCATGATAAGTATATGTTGAAATTATAGTGTATGTGAAGGACATGTGAAAAGATAGTTCAATTAAAGATCAGTCTATTCTGGGCAGAAAACCTATTAAGTAATAATTAACGTCACAGCTCTCCACAAGTGATTTATGTAGCCAGCCAGAGCTAGGGTGGATGAAGTTAAAAAGGTTCTTTAAAGAAATTTTTTATATTACTTCTGGAGGTTCTTGGAAAGCTTAGATCAGTGAGCATTAATTGATAGGCATCATGATTTTGCAGGAAGAGAATCATGGTTCAGGAGACCAAGACTTGACTGAGTTAGTCATTTAACCTTTCTTGACCTATTTTCTCATTTGAAAAAATAAATTCTGGAAGGTTTCTTTCAGAAATATATGCTTCCAATTTAAAGCAAATTTTATTTCTCTTGTTCATTGGTTTAGTCAGTATTTGAGTGCCTGTTTTGTGGCTTGCACTATGACAGGTACTAGGACTTGGGACAAGTGTCCGAAGTGGCGACAGTCCTGAGTGGCTAAGCCCTTAACCTGCAGGGTCTGCACTAATTCTGGGTAGTGTTGAAATTAAATTTTAGGCACTCAGTTGGTGTACGGAGAGCTGGAGACTGGAGTGGTGTTAGGAAAACATGCACACATTTGGTATTAGAAGTGTTGTGAGTAAAAACAGTTCAGAATTTGTTTTTAACCTTTTAATAAACTAAAATGTTTTCGAAAAGTAGGAGGGTTTCAATTTCTCCACATCCTCGTCAGTACTTGGATAGCATCTGTCTTTATTTGTTTATTTTTAAAGATTTTATTGGGGAATCGGGGAAGGGGAACAGACAAGTTGCTGTCCTTTTGTTCTTCAGTCTAGTTGTGGAGGACGTTGCTTCACTAGCTCATGTTGGTATTATCATTGTGCTCTTCCCAGGTGAGGCAGTCACT